ATGCTTCTATAATTATATCAAAATGGATTCTACTATCATGTATAACAAAAATAATCAATAAAAAACTATAAGAAACAAATGCTAAAAGTTCTTCTGAAAATGACAACACAATCAAGTCTCCAAAAAGCTTTACTCCTTAATGTATATATGCCTACAGAGCATAAAAATACATAAGGCATTTAGAATTGCAAACAGAAATTGGTATATCCAATATTATATTTGGATATTTAAATATCTTCCATCAGTATTAGACATATCCAGCTGACAGAAAATCAATGAAGATATTGTTTAATTAAATGATATCAATTAAATGGACTGAATTACATATGTAGAATATTTTATCCATCAACAGCACAAAATACATTCTTCTCAAGCTTACCTGGAACATTCACAAGACACATCACATTCTTGGTCACAAAAAATACCTTGACAAATATAAAAGAATAGATGGACAAAATATACTCTTAAAGGTGTAGGAAGATTAAACAAGAAATCAGTAACAGAAAAACTAGAGCATCCCAAAATATTTGGAGATTAAATAGCATATTTCTAAATAACACATGGTCAAAGAAGTAGTGTCAAGAGAAATTAAAAACTATTTTGAAGTAAATGAAATAAAAATATAATCTATCTAAAGTAGTAATATATAAAAAAGCAGTGCATAAGAGGGAAATGCACTGAATACACATATTAGAAAAGAATATGCCCTGAAATCAATGATTTACACTTAGAAGCGTTCTTATAAGTGTAAATACCATGTATAACAAAAAGAATCAATAAAAAACTATAAGAAATAAATGCTAAAAGTTCTTCAGAAAATAGCAAAAAAAATGGAGCTTTCCTACTAAGATCAGGATCAAGGCAAGGATTTCCCTCCCACCACCGCCTCTTGTCATTGAACTGAAAGTTCTGGAAACTATAATATGAAAAGTTGCAGAATATAAGGCTAATTAATATGCTTTAGAAAGTCAATTGCTTTCCCACATATTAGAAATGATCAAATGGACACTACATGACTTCAAGACTCACTGCAAAGCTATAGTAAAAGAACAGTTGTTGGGGTTTAAGTGTGCAGAGTTTAGCTCCCTCAGGCCTGACATTTTACAAGAGCTGTGGCTGTGATTTAGGTCAGCTGAGGCAAACCTCAGCTAGGAGGAGGAAAAGTTCTCTTCCCCTTATCGCAAGGCACAAGTTCTGCATGGTTTGGCCAAGAGGAAGAAGCTTCCTGCATACTTATCCTGGGAACAGTACATTCTGAAGAAACAAATGCATCCTCAGAGGAGTAGATAATGTCTACAAAGAACTTTAGGAGGGTACTTATCAAACAAACAGGAAGAATTTGAATCTAGCTCTGTGTATCCGCTGAGGCATGATATTTGGACAATGTGGGTAAAGTGTTATTGAAGAATTGCTTGCTTTGTTAGAAGAAGTGTATAAAAGGAACTTGCAAATAAACTTCAGGATGCAGTTGCAATTGCTGCCTTTGCTCTGCATCCCCTGTGTCCTGGTTATCTCGCGACCCTTACCCGGGGACCCGAACGCTCTAGACGTTCACAAACAGACAAATAGATTAATGCAGCAAAGATAATCTTTTCCATACTGGCGTGGTGGGACAAGCCTGAAATCTCAGTACCTATGGAGGTTGAAGCAGAAGGATCGCAAGTTGGAAATCAGTGTTGGCAACTCAGCGAGAACCTGTCTCAAAATAAAAAAAATAAAAAGAACTGGGTTTTCTTATCAGTTTATATGAGCTTACTGTAAATTAAAGAAATTTGTTGCTTCATTAAAAACAAAACAAAAGAACTGAGTATGCAGTACAGTGATAAAGCACTCTGGGTTCAATCCCCAGTACCAGTATCTAAAAAAAAAAAAAAAAAAGGATAGTCTTTTCAACAACTGAGCATCTAATATACAAGATAAAAGAATACAAACCGAGACCATACACTCTTCACAAAAATTGACTTAAAATAGAACATAGATCTAAAGTAAAATACAAAATTCTACAAAATAACAGGAGAAAATCAATATGACCTTGGATCTGGCAATGACTTTTTAGTACAAAAAGTCAATACCAATATAATCTTTGGTATTTACCCAAATGAGTTGAAGATTTACATCTACACAAAAACTGGAATGCAGCATTATCCATAAAACTTAGAAGCAACCAAGATGTCCTCCAAGGAGAGAATGGATAAATAAACTAGTAAACTCAAACAATGGAAATTGATTAAGACTAAAAAGAAATAAGGTATCAAACCATAAAAGGACATGGAGGAACTTCAAATGCATATTTCCAATTTTAAACAAGCCATTCTGAAAAGACTACATAATATATGATTACAACCACATGACATCAGAAACAGCAAAGCTATAGGGACATTAAAAAAAAAAAAAAAGACCAGTGGTTCCCAAGGGTTCACAGGGAGGGAAGGATCAATGGGTAGGACACACAGGATTTTTAGGACAGCAAACTGTTCTGTGTGATGAATTACATCACAGTGAATCTCACCATCATGTATATCCACAAAAATGGAGTCCTAAAAAGAATATGATATGTTCCATGCTTCTATAATTATATCAAAATGGATAATGCTGGGTATACATCTTTATGCATTTGTCAAAACCCATAGAAGGTACAATGTCAAGAAAGAATCCTAAGGGGCTGGGATTGTGGCTTGGTGGCAGAGCGCTTGCCTAGCATGTATGAAGCACTGGGTTCGATTCTCAGAACCACATATAAATAAATAAAATAAAGGTTATTTGACAACTTAAAAAATATTTTAAAAAATAAAGAATCCTAATAAAAATTATAAGTGGTAAAGATGTATCAATGTAGGTTCATAGACTGTAACAAATGTACTATACAAAAGCAAACAAATAATGAGGGAGAAATGATGTGTAAAAGGAATTATGTCAATCTGGAAGGGAAGTGTTTTAAAACATCATCTGTTAACACTTTCCAAATTAAACTCCAGATATTTTCCTTCTAAACCTGTATTTTAAAAATAGCTAAACCACTGAAAAAGAATACACAAATAAAACTGATTGTCAAAACAGTTTGCACATGCAATTTCAAAGCTTAGAAGGACAGAAATAAAAAAAATATTTTCTTTTTTTAAATTTTATTTGTATATAACAGCAGAATGTGTTACAATTCTTATTACATATATAGAGCGCAACTTTTCATATCTCTGGTGGTATACAAAGTATATTCACACCAATTCATGTCTTCATACATGTACTTTGGATAATAGTGATCATCACATTAAACCATTATTAATTACCCCATGCCCCCTCCCTTCCCCGCTCACCCCTCTGCCCTATCTAGAGTTGGTCTATTCCTCCTATGCTCCTTCTCCCTATCCCACTATGAATCAGCCTCCTTATATCAAAGAAAACATTCAGCATTTGTCTTTTGGGGATTAGCTAACTTTACTTAGCGTTATCTTCTCTAACTCCATCCATTTACCTGCAAATGCCATGATTTTATTCTCTTTTATTGCTGAGTAATATTCCATTATGTATATATGCCACTTTTTTTATCCATTCATCTATTGAAGGGCATCTAGGTTAGTTCCACAATTTAGCTATTGTAAATTGTGCTGCTGTAAACATTGATGAGGCTGTGTCACTGTATTATGCTATTTTTAAGTCCTTTGGATATAGACCGAGGAGAAGGATAGCTGGGTCAAATGGTTCCATAGTCAATTTTCCAAGAAATCTCCATATTGCTTTCCATCTTGGCTGCACCAATTTGCAATCCCACCAGCAGTGTATGAGTGAACCTTTTCCCCCACATCCTGGCCAACACTTGGTACTGGCACCAAAACAGGCTAGTGAGACCAATGGTACAGACTGGAGGCCATATAGACTAACCCACAAAATTACAATTATATTATATTACAATTATATTATATTAGACAAAGGTGCCAAGAACATGCATTGGAGAAAAGATAGCCTCTTCAACAAATGGTGCTGAGAAAACTGGAAATCCACATGCAACAAACTGAAATTAAACCCCTATCTCTCACCATGCACAAAACTCAACTCAAAATAAATCAAGGACTTAGGAATACAACCAGAGACCCTGCCATCTATAGAAGAAAAACTAGGCCCTAATCTCCATCATGTGGTATTAGGCCCCAACTTCCTTAATACAACTCCTATGGCCCAAGAATAAAATCAAGAATCAATAAATGGGATGGACTCAAACTAAAAAGTTTCTTCTTAGCATAAGAAACAATCTGTGAGGTGAATAGAGAACCTACATATTGGGAGCAAATCATTACCCCTCACACATCAGATAGAGCACTAATCACTAGGGTATATAAAGAACTCAAAAAGCTAGACATCAAAAAAAAATAACCCAATCAATAAATGGGCCAAGGACCTGAATAGAAACTTCTCAGAAGATGATGTACAATCAATCAACAAACACATGAAAAAAATGTTCATCATCACTAGCAATTAGAGAAATGCAAATCAAAACCACTCTAAGATTTCATTTCACTCCAATCAGAATGGTAGCTATTATGCATACAAACAACAAAAATTATTTTTCTTTAATTGATTACTTGCTAAGCCTTATTTTCAATGAATCCCATCTTCAAAGACAAGACTTTGTGGAACAGTATCATACCCTGGGATTTAAAACTACAGGCCATGAGTCCAATGACAAGTAAAGTTATCTGAGGAGGCATGAGACCCATGCCTGAGACCCAGACATGATATTTTTTAATAGTTAGGGACAACATGGGCTACTGCCATTTGTACTTGCCACTGCCTCTGAAAGTTGGAATTCTGGGTCCAGGCCATAGTAACCCTGTTTAGACAGAAGCCTATCAGAAGAATTAGAGGATGCTCTACTTACAAGAAATTTTCAGGATATCAAGAGGAGACTTGGATATTCTAACAACAAAGAAAGTACTAAAAAGGTCAATCTTTAGGAATTCAGATGACAAGTTCTTAAATTAAAATAAATACTCAAAAAAAGTACTCACGTGATGAGGGTGTTGAAGCCACCTGCCTTCATCTTCAGCAAACGGTCTCTCCAATACTTCTTGGGCACCCGGAAATAGTGAACAGTGCCTGCTATGATCAGGAACGGAAAGCCTCCTAGTGTGAAGTTTGAGCCCTCAACTTTTAGACCTGACTTGCGGTTTTTCAGGTAGGAGGGGATCAGGTGACTTTGATTAATCCTATGAGGACAGAGAAGGTACATGAAATCCTAGAGATGTTACCATTTACATAGGCTGGGCAAATCAAGACCTTTTTTTCAGGGGCCCTAAGCATTCCTCCAATGGTAAGCAAAACCTCCCCAGTCCTCCTTTCTCAAACATACCTGGGTGACAGGCCTTGGCTGAGATGAGTTATCACTGAAAAGGCTGAAGCAAGGAACAGGATACATTCAAATCTCACCAGGAAGGGCCACATGCTAAACAGATAAGATAGAATGAGGTCAAAGAGATATGGTGGGTTGGAGGAAGGAAGGAAGTTGCTTTGTAAAGAACACTGAATAGGGTGTAGAAGAAATTCCTCTAGAAAGAGGGTCCCAGTTCTTTTCTCTAACCTAAATTTTTCACTCTGCTACTGTGTATAATAATATTATACTCAGTATATTGTGTATATTTATATACACAATATATAATTATACACAATTATATATTGTGTATATAATTATTGAATTGCCAGAACATATTTTATCATTTATGTGGCCTGTGATTTTCTTTATGCTACTCATAGAGCAAATACTCTTTCTTCTCTGTATCAATTTTTTACCAGTCCAGAGTGGACTGAATCAATATTGTATAGCAAGGACAAGAGGGCTGTGCCCATCTGGGAGGAGAAAAGCAGTATGCACAGGGCATAGTTGTTATTCCAGCACCCAAAGCATTGCCTGAATCATAGTAGACACTCAAGGATTTTTTTTAAATGGTTGATGTCCATATTGTTTTTGCATTGCCAGGGATGGAACACAAGGAGGCCTTGAGAATGTTACAGCAAACGCTCTACCACTGAGGTACACACCCCAACCCCCGGTTATTTTTAAAAAATTTTTATAAACATGTATCTATTGTATGTAGCAATTCAATACACAAGATTTCAGTACATGCACATAGTGTGCACTGATTCAATCCACTTTTTCCCCACCCCTTCACAAGCTCTCATAATCACTGTAACATTCAAGTCAATTTTTTAATTTACCAGTAATTAAAAAAAAAAAAAATCTATGTGTTGCCAGAATCACTAAAAAACCTACGTTGTCTCCAGTACCTGTCAGCTTTTATTGGACTTAATGAGTATTGCCATAGGAAGAATTGGGATGTAAATTTTGGAAAATCAGAGAAAATACAGGACAGGGACCCTAAGATTAAATAAAATAACAACTAGAAAAGCAGGGCGCCCAGGACCTTCTAGGCAAGATTGAGAGGATAAGAAATGGAGATGCAGCGACTCCCTGACAGTTCAGAGAGGCTGAAAGTGAAATCGGGAGATGCTGCAGCAGAGATTTCCAGAGAGGAGGACAGAAAGCCTGAAGCAGAGCCTTAAGAAAACCTAAAGGAAATGTCCAGCGGGGGAGGGGTATCGAATGTGAGGCAATTTCACTGGAAACTCAGCCGTCAAGGTCCATTCAGTCCTGGGGCTGTGAATCCAGCCTAGGGCTATGACAGAGCCCGGTGCGGGAAGAGCTATTGAGTCCTGCGACTGTGGTGGGATGAGTGAACTCTAGGGGCCGCTGCCTGGCCAGCACCCACCTTACTGGTGAGGGCGGCTCTGGGCAGACGCCGCAGTTCCAGCTCCCGGCAGCAGCCTCCAGGTGCGGGGTCAAGGGGGGAGTAACCGGCACCGCGCTCGGCCCACACCCGCAGCCTCGCCCCTCCCCCCCCCCCCCAGCAAAGCTACCCTCTTTTTCCCCAGGAGACTGGTCCCTCGCGTGTGGGCAGACGCATTCCGCGGCTACCTGTCCCCCAACACCCACCTCGAGGATCACCTCCTCCTCCATCCCACCAGCCAGAGCAAGACCCGCCCCCGTCTGCCCTGGGGGATGCTCCCCTCTGATGGTCTGCACTCCCAGCAGAGCCCAGGCGAGTACCACCGTGTTGTCAGCTCCTGGGCAGCGCGTGCTGCTACTGACTTCAGGAGATGGGCCAGTTGCAAGGCCTTCTTGTAAAGTCCAGGTCGCCACACGCATGACGCCCTCCCCTCCGCATACTAACAGGGTTTGTTCGCACGCGGGCTCCCAGTCTCCAGCATTTGGCGGTAGAGACACAAAAAACGAAGACCAAAACATGCCCTCCTTCCTTTAGAGATTAGGAGTCTAGGGGAAAGTTGAGCAAGCCCAGATGGCCACCTGGAAGAACCGGCTGGTTCCTTTTACTGGATTTGTCCTGAAGGAAGCCAGTCACTTGATTCCGCCTAGAATGGTGGTATGGTGGTTCTCGAAGCGTGGAACTGTCGGCACAGCGTACCTTATCCGAAAAGCAGCAGAAATTCTCTGTACCCCTCCAGATCCACAGTCCACAGCACCCTCAACTGGGGGGTAGGGGGTGGAGCCCAGCCTTGGGGTTGGGACACACCCTCCAGGCAATTCTAAAGCACTATCACAGGTCTCCAATTCCCCCCACCTTTCACCTTTCACCCTAAAGTGAAGGGTAGGGAACTGAGAGTCAAAGTGGAGTTGTTAGTTTAACCTCACGGGAAGATCCTTTTTTTTTTTTTTTTTTTTTTTGAGAGAGAGAGAGAGAGAGAGAGAGAGAGAGAGAGAGAGAATATTTTGCGCTACAGCTTGAGCCACATCCCCAGCCCTCTTTCTTTTGTTTTGTGGGGAGGACAACCATTGCAGGCTCCCCACTTGGGTGGGAGTTCCAGCATTTAAAATTCTCCCAGCTTAATTTATACATAATCCAGGTACAGGCTCCAAAAGAAGTTACTTAACTCTTTTTTTTTTTTTTTAATTATTTATGTGTGTGTGTGTGTGTGTGTGTGTGTGTGTATATATATATATATATATATATATATATATATATATATTCTTTATAGCAAATTTACCTGGAACTGAAGAGAGAATTAAAAATAGCTTTTCATCTCTATCTTCCAGTAGACAAACTTTCCCTAAAGGTGGTATCTTTATTTTGGATTAGGCTATTTTTTCCTAAGTCAATTCTTGACCATATCCTGATTATGGATTCTCCATTCCTCTGCCTCTACCACTAAACAATTGAAAGTTTGACAGACATTCGGGAAGCTTTGTGATTGATGATTTCTCTGTTAAATTGCTGCTTCTCCTGGGCGTGGTGGCAAATGCCTATAATCCCAGTGGCTCCGGATCCTGAGGCAGAAGGATGGCGACTTCAAAGTCAGCGTCTCAGCAACTTAGTGAGGCCCTAAGCAACTCAGAGAGACCCAGTCTCTAAATAAAATATTTTTAAAAGGGCTGGAGATATGGCTGGGTAGTTAAGTGCCCTTCAGTTCAAACTCCATACCCCACCCTGCCCCCACCAAAAAATCAAATTTCATAAGTGCACTTTTCATCTCCCTCTTTTCTCCTTAAATTTTAGACCTCCTGTCTATTCTTGGCAATGCCCCTGAAATATGTCAAAAGCAAACCTCCTTCTAAACTCCACTCTACTATTGGAACTTGACTTTTTCTGTAATTTTCTTAATTTATAACAATTATGTTGTTTCAGGTTATTTCCCTACAATTCTTTTTCCTACTTGCAGTTATCCATAGGAACTATATTTTCACTTTTGCTGGTATTATTTGTTTTTTGCCCACATAATTGAAGTTCACAGTAAATGACCCCAATGGGATACTTTCTAAAGAGACTTGGCTGATTGTCTTTTCTCTTTTCATTTCCTGACATTATTGTAGTTGGTGACATCTTCATCCTTGTCAATGAAATACTAGGCCATCTTTTTCATATTTCTAAATTATAGAATTACATACTACCCTCAATAGTAAAACAATCCCATCACCAAGATATAAATCCTACAATGTTATTCCTGGCCATAGTAAAAACTGTCTCTTTTCACTGTCTCTTCCAAACCTGGTCTTCACCATCCTTTGAGTTTCCAGTTTCCTAGTCTTTGTCTCTTTCCTCAGTTTATTATCCTTATTTTATAATATTAAACAATTCACATTACTCTTATATGTGCATATTTTGGGAGTCAGACTTACCTTATGTGAAGGGTAATACAATTATTTACATCGGCAAACAGATTGACAGTGAACACTAGAATTACAATTAATTTCATTTTTGAAAAATGTTCTGAGCCAGGAATAATACTGCACACTTGTAATCCCAGCTATTCAAGGGCTTAGGCAGGAGGATTATGAGTTTGAGGCTAGCCTGGGCAATTTGGTCTCACTATAAAAGCAAACAGCATACACAAGGCCCTGAGAGAAAAAAAAAAAATGTTCTCTAAAAGTTAATTAAATCTTTAAAATTAATCAATATCCTGTGATTTGTAGGTGGTCCTACAAAACATGCATGACTGCTTGTATGGACATATTTTCCTCATTTTCAAAAATGGTAGTCTTGTGATTTAAGCTTTATTTTATGTAAGGGGGCTAGGAAAGTCTTAACAAGAGGGTGACATGTCACTGGGCATGGTAGCATATACCTATAATCACAGCACTGGGGGTGGGGGTGAGGCAGGAAAATTTAAGACCAGCCTAGACAAGACTCTGTCTAAAAATAAAATAAAAGGTGTGGGATTATAGCTCAGTAGTAGAGCACTTGCCTAGCATTCTCAATGCCCTGGATTCAATACCCAGTACAGGGGAGGGAGGTTACATTTGAGTAAATGAGTAAATATAAAAAGTAAGGTAGTGAATCATCTTAGTACATTAGGGGGGTGGGTGGGAAAGCTTTCTCAGGCAGGTAACACTCTGGTAAACTTGTGGCAGGAACAAAAACTTGAAAAAGCCAGAGAAACTTGAGGAAAGATGAGGCTTTAAGACAAAAGACTGATAAAATCAGAAAGGTTAATGAGGAGTCTAAATTGTTCAGGGACTTGGAGTTCAAAGGAACTGCTTTACTTTTGCTCTGAGTGATCTGAGAAGCCACTGGAGTGCTTTAAACCAAGAAGTGGTGTGATCAGACTTCCTTGTTAGCATGGTCTAAATGCCTGGGGCAAGGATAAAGAAAAGAAAGGGCTTTCTTTCAATATGTGAGAGTTGATGCTGGTTTGGACCAGGGTAGGAGCAATGTAGATAGTGTGAGGTGGTGTGATTCTGGACATGTTTAGAAGTACAGCCACAGGATTTGCCAATTAATTAGATGTAGAATTTGAAGTCAAGGATGGCCTCAGGGTTTTTTTTTTTTTTTTTTTTTTTGAGTAAAATGGAAAGATGGGGTTGTCTTTGATGGAATAGGGATAGCTGTAGGATCATAAAAGTAGAAATGCAGGGGTGGACTGGTATATGAACCT